CCCCAAAACCCCAAAACCCCTCTACTTTAAAGTTTGCCTAAAATTAAAATTTGATAATATTTGGAAATTTTAAGTATAAATGTTGTGTTTAAGTAATTTTATATTGAAAATTTAATAGATAGAGTTAATAAAGAGTTAAGGATTTTCCTACTTTTAAGCTCTCTAGATTAAATGACTTAGACTTCTTCAGTTTTTCAAGTTACTTTTATTTAATTTACTTGGGGGAGCTCTTTTCTGTCTTGGTTTTTTTTACATTCCGCAAGCCTTAAATCCATAAAAAGAATCTTCTTCATATTCTTCTTCCTCCTCGTATAAGTTTCTCCTATTTCCTTGATCAGGTCTAGCTCCAATCTTTGGCTTTACCTTATATGCTCCATCAGTATCTTGTTTGAGTTTCTATAGTCTTGCTTATTCCTACTCCTTAAATTGGGCTGTCTAATAAAGCCAAATGATCACATCAGCAGGGTTAGTAGAATATTCGGGATAATATTTGAAAACGAAAACCATCTGATCCTCATTAGGCATCAAAGGATTCAAGAATGGATCAACAGGCATTTCAAGATTGTCTGGGTAAATTAAGAAAAATTCCTTAGATTTACCGTGTGTGGGATCACTGTTATTTGAAGCTTAAGCTTATTCCTCAGTGTGTTAATCTTAATCAATAGAAACTACCATCTTTTTAGCTGGATCCTTAGTTGCAGACTCCTCATTTCTAATTATTTACTACTTTGGAACATTTTTTTATGTTTTTTTGCATGTATTATGTTTTCCTAGACTAAGTCCTTTGAACTAAGCATTGAATGTTTGAGCTTGATTGACTCCACCAATGTATTATTATTGCTGTGGCATTCCCGAGTTCATACCGCCAGTATTTCCTATCATGAATTGTTGTTGCATGGACATATTAGTAGGATCATCGTAATTTACTTGTTATTTCTCAATCAATTATTTTTATCCTTATATAGTTACATTATTTTTCTCCAAAGGGTTTTGTATTGTCACTACCCTAGTTATGATGCTTTT